CATTCAGGTCTTCTAGTAAAGTTAGGTAGTCTGGGAATCAATAAGGTGGTTGGCGACTGGATTCAAGACTTTCTAAAGGACAGAAGACAAAGAGTACGAGTTAACGGGGTTTTATCAACATGGGAATCGGTTAAGAGTGGCGTTCCTCAGGGTACAATTCTAGGTCCACTTCTTTTCCTGATTTATATTAATTGAGATTCCATCGGTAGTTAAGTCATCCTGCTTACTGTTTGACGATGACATCAAGATATGGAGGGCTTTACACGATGACAGTGATCAACTTGCTTTGCAGGAAGATTTAAACTTGTTAAGTGATTGGTGTAAGCACTGGGCCTTGGAGATTGACTTAAGCAAGAGTGTACTTATGCATGTATCTCATAGTCACGTGCACAATTACTCAATGAATGGCATTATTCTCCCAGTGGTCACTGAGTACAAGGACTTGGGAGTGGTTGTGCAGCATGACTTGAAAACAGCAACAAACTGTAGAGCTGCAACCACTAAGGGTTTTCGAATATTATGGGTCATACGCAAGGCTTTCGCGAACTTTGACGCTGATATATTTCGTATATTATATCCGACTTATATCAGACCTCATTTGGAATATGGGATCCAGGCAGCGAGCCCGTGTTTCAAATACGAAATAGACTTATTAGAAAGGGTGCAAAGAGTAGGAACTAAGCTAATAAAGGGTTTCTCAACCCTCTCATATGAAGAGAGGTTAAGTCGACTGGGTTTATTTCCACTGTCATACAGACGACTTAGGGGTGACCTAATACTAGCATACCGTATCCTAAGAAATGATTTTGGAGCTAATTTATCTAATTTATTTCTTCCTTCTAGCACCAACCAATTGCGAGGACATCACCACCTCAAGGTTCAAAAACTACGGTCGAATCGTCTGCGTCTGGAGATCCGTTCTTCGCATCGAATTGTGAACCATTGGAACTCCCTACCGGAACACGTCGTATCAGCGCCATCCGTTGATTCATTCAAGGCGAGAAGATTGGACCTCCTGTGTGCAACAAATCAAAAGGATTAACACAGGCATATAGCCTACTATCCTAAATAAGTTGTAAACTGTAAAGTATGCCTATGCTCTAGAATCTGTCGAAGGGTGAAGATATCATCAATACACCCACCCTCTTTCTGGTCTTAAGCCTGCCTGGCTCTCCCGTGTTTTGCCTCCAAAGGACCACTTACTTAGTCTACGCATTATTATTCAACCTAGAACTTTAGATACCATATTAGTCAATCTAATCCCAAACCAAGACTGTTCTATAGCAGTATGATTTTGTTGAACTAAATAATTTCCTAGGTACCTTTGAACTCAAAATCAAACTTTTGGAAATCAATCCTTTGTATAACATTCTTTCCAAGTTTTGATGTTGAAATATAGCTTGTGTGATAAACCGGATCATCAGTAGTGACTATTAATGACTGACTTACTGACTGACTGACTGAGTTTCAACATGGAACTTTGCACAGAGGTACAGTAAGTAGTTCAAGCTACTACGCTCCATGTGCACACAGAGGAGGGGGTGGCAAAGTTAAACTTTAAGCACCAGTAGTAAGTAAGTACCACCAACGGGAAATGACCATAAACGACGCACCAGCCACATGACAAATGTAGACTTAAAAGGCATGAAACTGTTACACACACACACAGGATACCTTTCTCTGATGTGTGACAAAACTGCTTCTCACTTCTTGATTAGACTGTCAGCAGAGTAATTTAATAATCACATTCTATGCATGTAGTTATCTAGTTAGTTAGTCTTCTAACCCTAACAATAACCCTAACGTGAAAATATCCATCCCTAAATTGGTTCTAATCTAACTTGAACCAACCTTAATTTTGCCCTTATTTGTTTAGCCTATCCCTAACCTGTCCTTAGCTAGCCTAAACCTAATCTGAAACTACTTACCAGATATCCACCTCATTTACTAACATAACACTTCAATAAGCATATTTTATTCATGATTACAACATTATTGGGCCGGTTTCACTAACCTGTATGCCCAGTATGCGCTTCAATGTGATTGGTGCGGTCGCACTCCACTAGTACTTACTGGTGGTTATTAAAGTTTAACTTGGCCCACATAGATATAGGAAAGAAATTCAAAGGGAGTACATTGAGCAGAAATCTACGAGAAGAAGAGTACTGATATGAAAGGAAAAATATGAAGATCTAAGAGGTTACAAAGAGTGAATGCATTTATGCCTTTGCGAACAACAACGATCTCAAACCATTGGTTTTTAGTATCCTGAGGATCTCAGCCAACCTGCACACACCTCCTTATGTGACTGTCTGAAACCATCTGTCAAAAGCTTCATCGATTGATGCTATTTGGTATTTGGTTTGACCCTCCCCCCCTAAGCTCCTTTCTATAACCTACTCCTTTGTCAAGTAAGTAACACTGCTCATCGAGGAAGGCGGTGGCTCGGAATGTGTAAATTTCAGCTGTTATTGATGACTTCAGTCGAAGCACTTATGAAAATATAGAATAAAAACTGTTTTCTGTAATTGACCAGAAGATGGAATTGCTACCAATTCTACTGCGTTTGTGATGGAGCCAGTTATATCGGCAGTTGCTCTAGCAACTTGGTTTTTCGTGCTCTCCCAGGAACATCTACTGGTGTGGCTACATAAAGGTTTAGTAAAAACCATCAACATGTCGATCGATATAAGACCACCTGGTCCAAACCTGTCACAAAGCCAGCCAGCATTGAAGAATCCTTCTCTATCATCATCTACCGGGTACCAAATAAACTGTCAACAGGCAAACATTGAGGTATCGCATGCTTCAAACAGAAGAGGCTATCGCAATTCGCCTGCTCTGTGGGCAGAAGAAATAGGTCCAGCCACCACTACTGCCTTGATCAGCCTTCAGTGAACACTGTCAATTCATGAATTTGTATTATTATCTTATATATGTCCAAACCAAGTTCACTTTTAACAGTTTCAAAAAATTTAGGCATTGGGTATGGTCTTGACAATATTGAAATAATCCAGAAAAAGCATTTCAGAAATCTCAAAGAGCGTCTAATATCACGAGAAGCACTTCATATGAAATGGAATCTAAATTGTCTGAATAGAAATGATGGACTAAAACAGAATTTGTCCTGGTTACAACACCTTCCTCCCCCATGAAGTGACAAAATCAACACGAATGTGATAGGCGATTTCATTATGTAAACACACGCTGCTTTTATAATTTCCATGTGCTTATCAAATCCAATAATCTACACCTGGTTTTGTTATCTTTACCAATTGGCCAATTTAACAACGAAAAATGACCTTGTTCTGAGGAACGATGATGATTAAGTTGTTATATAATGCAGGTTGAGATTGTGTAAATTCTGGTTTAATAATACTACTTTGATGAAGCAGCTATTAGTATTAAGTGGCGAAACGTCAGTGAAAACAATATCGTTTTGTTTTTCAATCATTGGGAAATATAAAAAAGCTTTATTGTATTATTATCTTTCCTAATTTCTCTGATATCCAGTGTATTGTTGTGTTGATGCCATCGAACTGTAATCCATTGATATTATTCTTATTGTTGATTCGATGTTATTTAAACAACAATAATGTTGTTCATAACACTAATTCATTCATTCACTATAATGTGTATACCTGTAGAACCTTGAGCTGCAATCTACGAAAGTTTGGCATGCGATTCGCTCCCGCCAAATGCAAGATGATGTTGCAGGATTGGGCTACACCGACTCCTAGATTAGAAATAGGAAGTGAAGTGGTAGAGCACGTTGACCGCTTCACTTACTTGGGAAGTACCATCAGCCAGTGTCAACGGGTTGATCTCTGATGAAATCTCAATACGAATACAGAGGGCTAGTTTGGCATATGCCAGTTTACGCCGTCTCTGACGTAGACGTGATATCCGGATATCGACCAAAGGGTGTGTGTGCTGCTCAGCGGTCCGCTCCTTCCTCCTTTATGGCTGTGAGCAAGACATGGCCATTGAGAGTGGAAGACATGAAAAGCCTGGCTAGCTGTCTTTGATCATAGGTGTCTGCGTTCTATCTGCTGTGTGAAGCGGTATAATAAGGTGAGCAATATTAAGGTTAGGCGTCGAGTGCTAGGTAGGTGGGAAATAAACGATGAGGCTGTGAAACTACATTGACTGAGATGGTTAGGACATGTGCTACGTATGCCTAGTAATCGCCTTCGTCGACGGGCAATGTTAGCTGATATAGGGTCATGCTGGAAAAGTACTAGCGGCGGTCAAACCAAAACATGGCACCAGTCAATGAAATCTGCAACAGTTAATCTAAGCCACGTCGGAAGGTGTAGACTTCCTGACTGGTTGGGGTCCCTCGGGACGGTAAAAACCAATGGTTGGAAACAATTGGTGACATGGCTCAAAATCGTTCTCAATGACAGCGCAGATGCATCCACTCCTTGTGACTTATGATTTCCATTTAATCTGTTTTGTTCTTCGTTATTACTATGCCTTTGTTTACTGTCTATATTATGCATTTCTCCTACTTTCTTCTCATGCTTTGTGTGCTACATGAAGTGTGGTGACTTGAACTGCCGCACATATGTGCAAAGTTCTATGTCGAAAACAGACAGACAGACCTGTAGAACCTGATGAAGAACAGGTTATCGAAAAGAGTATTCCTTGTTCAGTAACCATTCTTTTGAAAATTGCTAATATTTCAGAGGATAAATCATGCATAGGCTTTAATACGTATTACCACCAGCAATTAGGATTTTTCCACTTTATTATTTACAGTTAATGATCAGTTGTCACTTCTAATTACCTCCATCATACAGACTTTACTTCATTTTGTATTAATTTTAAGGGTTCTATTGATATTCTTTTAATACAATACACATATCGAATAAAATTAGAGTTATTTAGTGTTCTGAGAAACTCGTTTGCTAAAAGAAAACACACCACCGTCACAATAAATTTTGCTTTTTATTTATGTGTTACTTTTTTTTCTCTTCCGCGGAAAAAAATGTTAGTTTTGGTGGCATTTACTCGAGCCATGTCTTCATCGTTGTACAGAATCAGTTGCACCGTCATCATTAGCTGGACATTTATTCCTATTATCTGGATTATTATATGGCAGTCCTTTAAATCAGTTAGTGGATAAAGCATTGAATTCATCACCGTCGGATACCACTGATGCCTCCGTCGCTGCCTCTGCCGCAGCCGCCGCCGCTACTGCTGCTTCTTCGAACACTGATGATGATGGCGATAATAATGTTGATTGTAAAGTTAATGGTGATACTCCACGTGATGATGATAGTCACACAAACAATGATCACGAGAATACAAATATCAATTGTATACAACAACAGGGTCCTTTACATCAGATTATAGGATATCTTAGTCAAAATGAATTGATCTCTGTTATGTCTATCCCTGCTAAGGCAAGTTTATTACAATGTGTTCAAGTTTGTATAAAACGTCTTGAAGAAGCTATAGCTTTGTTGAGACAACAACAACAACAACAACGGAATAATCAAGAACACCAAGAGTACACATTGGAGACGACTAAACAGTCAAATGCTGATAATGGAACCATTAAGGATAATATCATTCAAGCTTCCTATGATGCAGCATGGTTATTAGTTCAGAATACACAGGTGAGTAATTATATGCATTTATAATATTAAATAATAATAGTGATATATTTATCTCAATACACAGGTGAAAAAGTTTGAAGCATTTGGTAGTCAGGTTTTGTGAGACACGTTCTATCTCCTGTGTTAGGTGATGGTGAGCAATATTGAGGTTATGCTTCGGTCGAGTGCTAGGTAGGTAGGAAGGGAAATCAATCGACAAGATTGTGAAGTTACACAGGTTGAAATGGTTAGAACATGTGTTATACACGCATCCTTACGCATTGCCTTCCTCGACGACAGGCAATGTTAGCTGACACAGAATGGATAAAGCTGGAAAAGAGCTAGTCGTGGTTAATACTACAACGGACTCGTATCTTTCTTTATTCAAACTTTTGTAAGCGGTTGTTCCCTTGAGACAACGTGGGATTTTTAGTACATGTTTAGAAAATCGGAGGTGTACCCAACGTAACTGCTCCCACAGATACATGTAAATTTGTATACACAGTTAGAGTTTACATGAAATGGGTGTCTGTCGACCTTTGATTGCACCATAGAGCATGTTTTCCGAGAAACTGTAACCAGCATAGCTGCAGGATAGGTTCTGACTGATGAGGTATTCAATTTGGCGAAAGTATTCATTCAGACATCTAGAAAAAACAAGAAAATTTGACCAATGAATATCCTTTTTGATAATTTCCTCTTATGGCACTACATTTATATGTATGTTTATATGCATAGAATACTCTAGAATGGTCGTCATTTACAATATTGGTGTATTTTAAATACTATCGATTTGTTAAGTAAAATCACAATGGAATTACAGTTCACCAAAGATGTATAAATAATAATAATAAGCATAAAAATGTAATAGTAGATAGAATATCAAATAAAATTAAGGAAATTTCCAGAATAAATTAAGGATCATTCAAATCTTGGTGACCAATGGATAAGGACAGTGTCTGCACCAACCAACTTCTTTTGGATACATCATAAGTTAGGTTTCTTAATGTAGATCCCAACTACCAGCCTCAGGAATATGTAGTAGACGACGAACTCTTGAGTGAGGTAAAATTAAGATTTGTTGTTATGCAATAGATGACTTTGAAAGTCGCCGTGTTAACATCAATCTTGTGTTCTGTATCCACAAGATGAGAAAAAATAGCTCTATGAATAGATTTGTTTGTCCCTTACTTAACTACTATGTAGCATGATGTTCTGTTAACAATTATATATGTGGAATCCAGAATGCGCATTTCGTCCTATTTGGGACTCGTCATCATCTGGATGTACCTGCATTTCTCAGTGAGTGATGATGTTCCCACCGAGTCTCGAACCCAGTGCCCATAGTTTCAAACGCCAAAGCGTTATCCACTAGACCACTTGGGCCACGAGAGCCACCTCTTGTACATCCAGCTGATGACGAGTCCCAACTAGGACGAAATGCGCCTTGTCCTGGATTCCACTGCTAGTTACCATCCACCAATTAAATTCTAATTAAATGCCCAGACATCGTCGAAGCATCTTCACAAGAAGCCGACATGTCAATTTGAGACCTAGCACTTCGGTCCAATCAATCGACGGGAAAATCTAAAATTCAAGTAAATTATATATGTGATTGTATTCCTCTGATGGTATATTTTTTTCTTACAGTAGTACACCTATTGAAGAATCTGTTTTAATTGTTATCTTACAAAATGCTTCTTTAGATTCGTTCATGGTTATTTGAAATCATTCTTGGCTTAAGTTCAATTTGGCCAGAAAATGATTCTCTGATTACATCAGATTTTGGTCGGGCAATAATTAATTCCTGTGATAAATTAATACAACAATTGGCAGCTTGTCATCGAGACTGTATCAATTTAAGCAAACAGAATAGCCTAACATCATCATCTGGAGATGATTATGAGATGATAAATACATTGTTAACCAGTCCTGCTACTCATGAGGATGTAGATCGTTTGTTCTACAACTGTATGCCTACGGTTAGTTCATTTCAATGCACTTGCAAGCGTATATTATTATTACTTTTTATTCTGAATGGAACATAGTGCTTCAACAGTACATCCATCCTCCGTTGTGTCCTGTTTTCTGCAATCCTTCCCACGACTATCGATAAGCTTTCATCTTGGGACTTAAGCCTAATCCATCGTTTCCCATTGGGGTCCCATCTAACGGCCTGGCTTATGGCTTTCATGTCACGCCTTCAGCCGTCTCCTTAGCATGTTTTTGTCCCACCCATCTCAATTTTTTTTGTTTACAAATGTACAGTTAGTCCAAATTGTCACATTTCATAAAAGCACACATTAAGGTGAAAAAAGAGAAAATATTGTAACGACAGAAGACATGTGCCAGGCAACAGATCGTTTATTGAGGAAATCAAGAGATATTTATATAATTTTATGTACATTATTATTCGTTATTATTAGCAGAGAAACAGCGTCTTCTGATTGGTTATTTTCTCGCTGAAAGTTATTCTGTCATCTCTTTGTGGCTGTTTCTTTGAAGGTCAGACCATATATATCTGCTAATCGTATCCGCCCACGCTAAGTGTGCTGTGATTGGTTGTTGAGTTCCTCAAGGTTAGGCCTTGTTAATGTTTTTATCTCGTGATCCCGATAATCACATATACAGAATAATAAGAATTTAATGAATTTTTGGAGTCCATAAAGAGTAAATGAATCTGAGCTATAAAGTACGATATCGTCCTCCTCCTAGATGAAGATGCTGATAAAATATAGAATCGTCTCGACACATTGATCAGAAATCTTCGAATGTTTGTCATGCTATTTGTTCCTGTCAAATGTAAGATGATGGCTGTAAGACTGGACTGTATCAACTTCTAGTTTATATAGCGGATGGAGAGGTAGTATGACGGTAGAAGACGAAATACTTGGTAAAGGAATGTTTGTTTAGAATTTGTACACCTTACCTCTATATCGTTATTTGCACAGATCTTCTGTGTTGTGCTACTGTAACAACAGAGGACAAGGGCCAGGCGACAGATCGTTTATTAAGAAAAATCAACACATATTTATAGATTTTAATGTACATTATTGTAGATTATTGTTAGTAGAAAATATAGTCTTTTGATTGGTTGTTTCCCACAGAAAGTTAACCTTGCATCTCTTTGTGGCTGTGTCAGATCATCCATATGCTAACTGTATCCGCCCACGCAAAGCCTTTGTTCTCATTTTCTCACCACCAATATTGGGGACATAAAAATTGACGTCAATTACTGTCTACCAGCTTTGGCTAGCATCCAGCTCTCACCACACTACTTCTGCGCTTCCTTCGTTTTGAGTGTTCAAAGCGATTACGTATTAAGCAAATAAATATATGAATTAGTCAGAATAGTAAAGTAGTTAGAAAAATTATAACTTGTAAATGTTTTGGAGAGAGTAGGAAATTGTCAGTGGTGTTTTACATTCATTTAATGATGATGAAAACAAGGATTTCTTTTAAGCATACAGATTTGGTTTCTTCAGGTGGAAATCCCTATGGCTACCCTGGTAGCTGTATGCAGAATCAATTAATCAGTTTTAGGTATAGGGTGGGGGGGGTGAAGTTTCTTTATTTATTCCTTCACGTTCCCAGTGGAACATGGGGCTTCAAACTAGAGGCTTGAAGTTTCTGTAGCGGTGTTTATTTTTACAGGATGGGGTTGCTAGCCCCATGCCCAACCTTTCCTCTTCACCAGCTTTAGTTCAGGGTTAGCGAGGTAAAGGAGTGCGTCGGCCGCTTGTCGAACCCCGGACCATGTGCATGGTCGGTGAGCGTCCTAACCGCTATGCCACCGACGCAAGTTAAGAGGTTAAAAGTCATCAAAGCATCAATTAACTAATGGATGTTAGTAGCAATATATCTAAGTTTTGAAGGAAGCGTGAAACTTAATTACGGAATTCAAGATAAGTTAATTCTTAAGCGTTAACAACGCGTTGTTACATAATCAAGAAATTTGTAAAATAGTAATGATGACTTAGAAGAATAGGATGACTTGAAAGAACCAGTTAAAAGAATCAGTTAGGATTGTAAGAAATAAAAAAGTCAAAAGATCGTTACAAAGGGAGGGGAAAATCGTTTTTAAAAACTTAATGCATATTATGTAGTTGGCCATGACAAAGAAAGAGGGCTGTACAAATTGCTTTTGAACACACAGATTTGACTTGTTTAGGTGTATTCAGATTGCCTCTGCTTTATGTATGTAAAAGTCCTACTGGTAGACCATGCGACGAGAGGTTGGGTGTTATACGATAAATAACTTAAAAAGCTTTGTTAGAGTCGACTTGATGTCCAGTCAGTATCGATGAGACGAGCTAGTATTGAGTTGCGTATGGCAGCTTTATTCGGACCTTCGCCAAACCAAGATGAGAGGTGTTCAGAAATTCGACGATGGACTTGTCTGCTCTTACGCCCTATGCGAATAGCTCCACACGGACAGTTAAACTGTGT